CTTTTTGTGGGCAGAGACCGACATGCCGCTCAGTCGGAGACAGGAAGACAAAGCCCCCACCTTTCTGTAAACTGAAGATGCTGGACAGCAGGTTCTCTGCAGCCTTTTTTTTTCCAGTTACTTTTTTCTTTTCTAAAAATTTTAATCGTAAAGAGATAACAAAATTTACCATCTTAACCATTTTTTAGTGCACAGTTCAGTGGCATTAAGTATATTCACACTGTGGTGTGACCATCCCCATCATCTATCTCCAGAACTTTCTCATCTTCCCAAATTAGTGTTCCCATTAAACCACTGGTTCTCAACCTGTGGGTCGCGACCCCTTTGGCGGTCGAACGACCCTTTCCCAGGGGTCGCCTAAGACCATCTGCATATCAGCTATTTACATTAAGATTCATAACAGTAGCAACATTACAGTTACGAAGTAACAACAAAAATAATTGTATGGTTGGGTCACAGCATGAGGAACTATTTAAAGGGCCAGCAGTTGAGAACCACTGCATGAAACACTAATCCCCTGGCACCCACCGACTGCTTTCTGTCTGTGGGTCTGACTCCTCTCGGGACCTCCTGTGAGTGGGATCACACAGTATTTGTCCTGTGTCTGGCCTGTCACTGAGCACCATGTCCTCAGGGCTCGTCCCTGTGGTGGCAGGTGACAATGCCCTTTCTTTTTAAGGCCGAGTAGCATTCGCACTGTTTGTCCGTTCACCCATCCATGGACACCTGGGTTGTTCCCACCTTTGGGCCTTTGTGGGTAATGCTGTGAACATGGGTGCACAAAATTCCATTGTGGGATTTCTGGGTTGTATGGAAACTCGATGTTTTTTTTTTTTTTAAATATATTTTATTGATTTTCTACAGAGAGGAAGGGAGAGGGAGAGATAGTTAGAAACATCAATGAGAGAGAAACATCGACCAGCTGCCTCCTGCACACCCACCACTGGGAATGTGCCCGCAACCCAGGTACATGCCCTTGACCGGAATCGAACCAGGGACCTTTCAGTCCGCAGGCAGACGCTCTATCCACTGAGCCAAACCGGTTTCGGCAAAACTCGATGTTTAACTTTTTTTAGGAACCGCTGTTCTGCTTTTCATGGTGGCTGCCCCATTTTGCATCCCCACCAGCTGCGTACAGAATTCCAACTTCTCCCCACCCTCCAGTTAAATTTACTCATTCATCAGCAGGATATGCCTTGAAAGCCCCGTGTGTGCCAGGCACTGTCC